TCCGAAACTTTACTGCACATCTACATGACACCACCAAACACCTCCCAAAAGATGATTAGGCTACTGTGTAAAATGTAAGAGGAGTTTGAGAAATAAGAGTGTGACAGACGGACGGACGGACGGACGGACGGACAGACGGACGGACGGACGGACGGACGGACAGACATGAGTAACAACAATATACCCGAACTTTCTTTAGAAAGTGCGGGTATAATCATTCTGCCCCTGTTACCACCTCCTTTTCCTTCCTTCTCCAAGTCATGAGGCTGATAAGGCCAGAGCTTATACCCAGTTTTTGTGGTGCTAAGCAGATAGAGTCATTGAATCCCCCTGGATGGGACACTAGGCCATTGCTGGTTAACTCCCAGTATTAGCCTGTATCAAATGCAGCTGGGTGGAAACAACGTGGATAAAGTGCTTTGCTTAAGGATGCAACACAGAAGATCAAGTGCATCTGGGCTTGAACTTTGGGTTACTTGCCAAATGCCTATGACCACAGAGCCATGTGCTCCATACTGTAACCACCACCATCTGACTCAAATAGACTTAAGTCACTAATAACCACTACACAACACAAATGTGAAATCTGAAAAATTATATAAAGTGCACAGCTACGGCACATGATACACTCTTCAGATATTGTTTATAAACAGATATTAAAGTGTGTATGTCAAGTCAACCTTAGTACAAAGATTTCAATGATTTCTATTGTTTTTAATGTTTGATGTACACTGTACTTTATTATTGTTTTTAATGTTTGATGTACACTGTACTTTATTAATAAGATCAAATGGTACATCCTAGGTTGTAAAACAAAAAATGCCTAATCTGCAGCTTTGTTCATTGTTTAATTTATGAAAGATGAACAATGACACTGCCTAATAAAACATCAAAATACTAAACAAATCTGATTCAAATAGTCTTTGGTGCTTTCTGAAACTGACATAGAAGCATGGTAAAAATCTTTTTTTAATATCTGGAGTAACAAATTTTCATTATGTTTATGATCACACTGACAAAACTTCTGCATTCGTCATCTCAGTGACGTATAACTATAATATAATACCAAATTAATTTTTGAAAAGAAAAGGCAAGCCATCAAAAGCTTTATGGATTTGACAGACGCTGTCAATTGCAACTGAGAAGCCACATCCATAAATTCTCTACCCAATTCGCAAGATATACTAGTCTACCCAATTCGCAAGATATACTAGTAAACCTGCTTGATCAGAGATGGTCCTACAGAAATTACTAGGGCAGACTAAGTGTTGTGCATTAAACTCATTAATTAATATTTAATTTGGCAGATGCAATTTGTCTCTTATCAAAATTCCTTGTGCACGTTCAGTTGAACTCCAACGAATTCTATGGATTGGAAAATAGCTCCCATAGGACAAATGGAATTACTCAATCTGTGTGTGATGAACTGGTTAAGTCTTGCATATTTGTAGTTGTATATTTATGTCATCACTGTTAGAAACAAAAAGAATTATTTTTAAAAAAAATACTATATATATATATATATATATATATATATATATATATATACACACACATTAGGGATGGCAATTGATTACAGAATTGCTAATCGATTAATCACAAGACGTACGTTCCAACCGATTAATCGGTTAATCGTATCAAAATCTAAGTATTCATATATATAAGAAGAAATAAGAAGTTAGATGTTAGAAACTTTTAGTTTATTTTCTTCATTTGGAAACTATATGTACATATGTTTTCTTCAATTTCAAAAGACAAGAAAAAATTAAGAAAACCATTACCCTTGCCTCAGAAATCAGCCACGGATTGGTCAGTGTAGATGTCACAAGTTCATTCGGCATTGTCACCATAATCAAAACTATGCTTTAACTTCCACTTAATTTACAATGCTTCTTCTAATGATATAATTCATTAGATAACGACACAAGATAGACATACTAATTCACAGTGCTCTACGGTTATTTATTTATCATCATAAAAGAATTACAGGACAGTTGAGAGGTTTGTTCCCATTTTGCACACATTTGAAATTCATGTGAGGAAAAGAATGTGTGCAAAATGGGAATTTGTACAGGTAAGATAATTACTTAATTGCTATGGTCTGTATCACAGCTTGAGAATATGGGAAAGGGAAACCTATAGGGAAAGATTAGGAAATAAAGTCATATGCGTTTCATGTCTAAATTATTATTCTTTATTATAAGATTTTATTAATATTCATTTTTCAGTCAAATCATTCATGTGTTTGAAATTCATATAATATAAATTTTGATTTATTTATTCGTTTATTCCTTTTCTCTTATTTCTTCTTATTTCTTCTTATTTCTTGGTAAAATTAAGGTAAATCCAGGTAGGATGAAGACTATAATTGTAATGAAAACATAATCCAAACCTATTGTCTTAGACCTAATTATCAAATGTGTGCAAAATGTGAACACACGATGTTTTTAAAAAATTATCAGATGTTTTTTTTTCAAAATGGGAACACATGATTTTTTTAAAAACAATATTCATTAACACTTCCTTAACTGACCAATTACTCTCTTTCCAGAGAGACATAATTACCACCAATTTAGCTTGATAATAAGATGTGTAATATGCTATAAGTAATCAGCTTTTTATGCAGAGGTTTCCTTTAAAAAAATGAATTTTAAGAAAATTGCACTCAAAGTTACATATAATACTTTATTTTTTTATTTGACTAACCGCTTACGGATTTTCTAACCGATTACCATCGTTCCGACCGATTAGTTGGTTAACCAGTTACAAATTGCCATCCCTAAAATATATATATATATATATATAGATATACATATATATATATATATATATATATATATATATATATATATATATATATATATATACACCGGTATATATAGTTATATATACAGTTATATATCGTAAAAAAAATCTGTATTTCTTCATGTTACATTTTTGTACAAGGTTACTAAATTTCTCTCACATTTGTAGGGAATACCTTCCTTGAAACCTAGTATTTTCTTTTTAAATATCATCTTCAAGATGAACACAACTTGTAAATAGGCATATGCCAAATTATTTTTCCTATCTACTATATCAGCACTGGGGTATATAAACCCTTTGCATTTGTTACACCTGGTCGCTGCAGCGTGAAGTGCATGTATATCTCATGTTGTTCTTTTTGTTTATGTTCATTTCATTGAAGGTGGATTTGTTTTATTTCATTTAAGGTGCATTTGTGTTAATTTCAATTTGTAATGCATTGACCTGTGTAGTTGATATCGAATATCTTTTGATAGCTTTTTTCCTGATGTGGCAGAAGCAATCTTGAGGCATACAGAAGTCATTTTTGTTGCGCCCAACTATATCACAATGACAATGAAAGAGATGTGTTCTTAAGGTAGAATCCGTGAAGCAATATACGTTGAACTGTAAACAAAGCTGAGGCTTATATAGTGGATGGAAAACAACAGCCTTGAGAAAACTAATATGGTGAAAAAAATAACTCTATTCCTTTTACAAATTGTGTTCAGCTTTAATTAAAGGTCACAGTGACCTTAATGTAAGGTGTGACACACTCTACCTAAGATACATTATTTATCAAAGTTTGAAGATTCTAGGCCAAAAATTTTCCAGTTGAATTGTTATGAGCCCTATATTTGGCCATATCAACATAATTAAATGTCACAGTGACCTATTAACTTTAAAATGTGGCACACCTTTTATCCAAGATGCATCAGCTGATAAAGTTTAATGATTCTATGCCTCATAGTACTTAAGTTATAAGCCAGACACAGATAAGCTATCAGACAGACAATGAGACAGACGAACAGATATGATCACCATACCATACTGCATTCCATCACAGACGGACATAAAAAAGTCTTCAAAGTTATCCTTTACTTCCAGTAGCCAACCCAAAGCAAGAAGGAAATCAGGTTAAGGAATATGGCACTTATATTCTGGATGAATTGTCTCACATTGACTATAAATTGTTTACAAATATAAGTGAGGAAAATTTAGCAGCTGTTACTCTGCTCCACATATAAGAGTGTATTACAAAATTTCACAGAAAACACACCATCCCTGCTAGTAGCAAAATTCGTACAGATATCTGACTTTGACCTTCATGAATGACGTAGACCTGACATCAAACCTTTCTGCTTGACCAAATATAAAGTCTTTATTTCATATTATTAGATTGTTTAAAGTTGTAGAAACACTCTTTTTTTGGCCCTGAAAGTCTTTCTACAATTAGACTCAGAGCAATCTCAGAACAACTAAATTTAAAGTTGTAGAAAGAGACTCAGGGCTAAAAAGCAATACCCTAATATTCCATGTTTTGATCTCAGGGGGAATAAATCTGTATGTCTGACTTACTCTGACAGCTGCAGTTTCCCTACGCAGTTCTTGGATGACCAGGACTAGGGCTTCTGGGTTCACACCATTTTCACAAAGACGAACACATGTTGCTAAAGTCTCAGCATCAAGACCAGTATTCAGGAGTTTTGAAATCTCTAAAAGGGCTGAAAAAAACAAAGAAGTACATTATAGTTACATTCATCATGCTCATTTCTGTATAATTTGTATATAATTGTAACCGACCATGGTTAAAAAAAAGTATCAACTAAAAATGTAGTACCAATTTCTTGCCATATATGTAGATATGTCAAGATCTAAAAATGCAGTGGCCGTTTATAAAAATGTATATAATGTCTATTGTCTGGTCATATGTATGTTCATGACTCTTTAAAGAAAGAAATGACTGTTTTTATATTTATTTTTACAGGAAAAATATAAACAAGCATACTTTCCAGCGTTTCCTTGGACGCCGAAGGTTTTCGCTTCCCCGAGTCCGCCATTTTTTAAATATTAACTTGTTCGCTGACTGATTCTTTTACTTTATTGAAATCGTTTGCACAATAATGCAGTAAATAGGGGTTTTAGTATTTATCAGATATTTCTGAAACTTTTTATGCATTATTCAATTTATCGTAACTTCGGAAATTTTAAATAAAATGTATATACAATATAATGTTACAAGTGAACCAGAAGTCTCTGACGAGACTGTAGCTCTACTGGTTTGAACTTATAACAAAGGACTTGGACTTGAACTTTGCAACAGCAATAAATAGAATAATGATCCTTGATCTAGTCTCTTTTTATGGCAAGATTTATTGCAATCAGAATAAACTTGTAGGAGGAGTAGCCTTTTAAAAGACTTTTACAGAAATTTCGATTTTTAGTAACCATATGGCAACATCATTTATTAAAATTAAAAAAAACGATAAAGACAATTATGTATCTCAGTGTAGTCTACTTGCATGCCAAGTTATAGTAAAACCAGACCAAACTGTAGGAAGAGAAGTGTTTTGACAGTATTTAACAGAAATTAAATGTCTTTTTTTAGTAACCATGACAACACCGTTCATTGAAATCAAAAACCGATACACAGAATTATGTATCTTAGTGTATTCTACTTGTGTGCCAAGTATATTGAAATCAGACCAAAACTGTGGGAGGAGTAGTGTTTTGAAAGTATTTCACATAAATTTCTATTTTTAGTAACCATGGCAACACAGTTCATCGAAATCAAAAAACAATGGAAAAAAAATAAGTATCTTAGTGTATTCTACTTGTGTTCCAAGTTATATTGAAATCAGACCAAAACTGTAGGAGGAGTATCATTTTGAAAAACTGTTTACAGACAGACAAACAGACGGACGACGTACAACTTGCTATCGCATGAGCTCTTCTGGTCTCTGACCAGTGGAGCTAAAAATATGTGATGATTTGACGGATTGATTTTTTTTTTTCAAAAAATTTCAATTTGCTGGTCATTATTTTTTAATTCACCCATTTGCCATTTTAGATAGTGTCAGGTAAATTCAGTTCAGTTCGAAAAGGTGAAAAATTTAACCTTGATTCTTATCTTCGCCGAACAATCTTGTAATTTTGAACAAAACTTTCTTAGTGCCCGCACACCTAAAGAATTGCAAAATATCGTACAATCTTATCTTTGCCTTTTGACACTGGAATTTCAGGGAGCCCAATATAGTCCCAAAAACTTTATATAATATATAATATACATTATGAATTTCCCTCTGATCAGTGAGTACTTTTCATTAGAAATTTTTAGCTTCATCTCGTGTTGTTTTCCTGGTTGGAAAAAATAGTAATATTCGTGCTATATTTTATCACATTACAGCTATATTACTTCTATTCTCCCTGCAAAAGTCGTTTGGAGGTAAGTTGTCAATGCCTACATTTTATGTATCTTTGTGGCTCAGTGTAAATTGCTTTTATTATTATCGTCACATTAATAAATGATGAAATTTCTGATTTCAGAATTTTTCATAACATATTGATAAATACCTGATGGGAATTATATAGGTTGTTTGAAATACACTAATTTACTATTCACCTTTTTGTTGAAGCCCTACAATGTTTACGCTGTTTTGTTGCCTTTTTTTTGTTGAAGCCCTACAATGTTTACGATGTTCTGATTCCTTTTTTTTTTCATTGAAGCCCTACAATATTTACAATGTTCTGTAATCTTTTTTCGTTGAAGCCCTACAATGTTTACGATTTTCTGACACCTGTTTTTTCGTTGAAGCCCTACAATGTTTACGATTTCTGATACCTTTTTTGTTGAAGCCCTACAATGTTTACTATCTTCTGACACCTGTTTTCGTTGAAGCCCTACAATGTTTACGATTTTCTGACACCTGTTTTTTCGTTGAAGCCCTACAATGTTTACGATTTCTGATACCTTTTTTGTTGAAATCCTACAATGTTTACTATCTTCTGACACCTGTTTTTTCGTTGAAGCCCTACAATGTTTACGATTTCTGATACCTTTTTTGTTGAAGCCCTACAATGTTTACTATCTTCTGACACCTGTTTTCGCTGAAGCCCTACAATATTTACGATTTCTGATACCTTTTTGTTGAAGCCCTACAATGTTTACGATTTTCTGATACCTGTTTTTGTTGTTGAAGCCCTACAATGTTTACGATGCTCTGATACCTTTGAGCCACGACTGTGTAACCGGATAGAAGTATGCAACAAAGGAGAGGTAAGGGATCGGTTTTTATTATTATTTTATTATTATCAACATTTATAAAGCGCACAATGTTACAGATAAAATGCAATCAATGGCGCTGTACATGTACATGCAATTAAAATGACCTAAACAAAGTTAAACAACTAATTAAGAAAAGTATAAAAAAAAACTATTTTAACTGAAAATAAAACAAAGTTGTATAGTTAACCTATAATTAAAACGTCAATTGAATGCACTTGTAAAATAAAAAGCTTTTGAATGTCTCTTAAAAACGTTAAAATCGCTGATGGCTCATAGTTAGGAGGTACCTCGTTCCACACGGTAGGTCCTGAAATGGCGAAGGATCTTGAGGCAGATGTTTTGCGTTTTGCGATTGGGACGGTGAGAGTTTTAGCCAAATTATCAATGGAGCGAATCTTGTAAGTGGAAGTTCTAATGCTAAGTATTTCCCGCAGATACATGGGACTGTCCTGTCATTAAGACACTTAAAAACAAGACAAGCTATTTTAAATTTAATCCTATAGGTAACTGGTAGCCAGTGTAGAATTTTAAGAGCTTCTGTAGAACTGTCAGTTGATTTTAGTTTAAGCACGAGTTTTGCTTCTCGATTCTGTAATAACTGTAGTCGTTTGATGGTACATTGTACATTTTGGCAAACTGTTGGCGTAATCCAGATGGCTTATTACTAGAGACTGTACTATTTACTGTTTACATGAGTCTTCAGTAAGGTATTGGCGAATGTATCTGATGTGGTAAAGATTCATCGAAATTTTGCTACATTTTTCACTAACAAATTTCCTAAAGCTTAAATGTTCATCCAAGTAACATCCGCGATATTTAATATACGGGAGTGCGTGAACATTTGCACCAACCACATTGATCGATTTCGTTGAAGACGCAGATAGCATTTTATGACTTCCGAATAATATAAATTCCTTTTTACTTGGGTTAAGTTTAAGTATGTTCAAATTCATCCAATCATTAATGTCTAGCAGAACGGTTTAACTTCCATAGATCTTCAGTTTTCAATCCAGAAGAACACATTCTGGAAAAAAAGGGGGGGGTTAAGGCATTCTACAGAGATACCTATCTATGTTCTCAACCATGACATTTAGCTGGGTAAACATATTGGAGGAGGATCGAGGTGCCCCTTCTCTCTCCCCCATTCAACACGATAATAATGCAAAAAATTGTTATACATATCTATTAACACATTTTTTTTATTTAGTATGCTAAATATATTTAGGTCCTCTGTATTTTTTTCCCACATTGTATGCTATCCTTTTTGTTAAATGTGTCACTTTAAAGTCAGATATTTATGGAGAGCCAAATTAAAATAAACTTAAATAATTGAAGATTTCTTTATTTGAATTTTCATCAATTCATTTGATATGCACGCAACAATTCTATTAGATATCTCTTCAAAATGTGAAATATTTAATTATATCAGTTTTCATTTCTGAACTACTGCACACATTTATTCAATTGTTGATATCATTAATTAGTTTACTTTTTAATTTTTGCTCTTTTCAAATGAAATGATGAGTATAATAATTTAATTCAGCGGAGAAGAGCAGTAATCAATTTATGCGCGCAGTAATTGAATTAATGCTCTCTTCACTTGATTTACTGCACGTATCAATTCGATTAATGTGCTCAATAATTGAATTACACGTACTTGTATTGCTTCAATTGAATTATTGTTATCATTAATTTACTCTGGGTAATGCGTGCAACAACTTTTTCATTGGTGATATTTTTCAAGTCAACATATCTATGATTTAAATGATAATCTCTTAAATTGAATTTGTGGTCTCTTTAATAAATTGATGCGCTCATTGATTTTTCTAACAAAATTTTTGTAAAGTAACAAGATATCTTCAATTACATTAAAGATATCAACAAAACATTTATACTAAAGTGTAAATTATTTTTCTAGTAATAACCCAACACGCTTTAAACCTCAACAACTGAATTGATGAGAGCAATAATTGAGATATAATTGTTCTTTTTAATTCAACATACGCGCATCAATTCAGTTGAGTAGAGCAATAATTAATTCGACGCGAGCATCAAAGCAAGTATTGAGCAAAATAATGGAATATATAATATTTTCAAATAATTTTAAAAGATAAAATCTTCAATTATTGGATTCGAATTAATGTTTATTTTGGCACCTTAACTATAGCTATTGTCTCTGGTATTTGTAGGTATGTGGGGTACGTCTGTACCGATCTGATAATGGCGATGTCAGCTACTGGACCGGGTGTATGTCATCTCTGGTAAGGATCACCTAGACCATACAATACAAGTATGGATCAATCAGTTCCATAACGAATTAGACACATGTAATCCATTTTAAAGGAAAAAAAGTCACGTATGAATAATCCTAATAATGTATGTGTTTTGAGAAAAACACAATACTTACCGGTACATTGTATTACCTTTGGAAAAATATTCGTTAATCATTTCAGGATTGTACTAAAACTATAAACAGAACAGTTGTTCACCCTAAGCGTGACGGATCCTCCCACATCCCAGGCCAGCTGTTATGTACAGACTGCTGTGTGGGGGACATGTGTAACAGCGAGGGATGTGGGGCAGACGGTGAGTTGTAATCAAGGTGTTAGTGATCAATTATTCAGTAATAATTTGTGGTGCATGAAATGTGATTGATTGATTGTATGTTATAAACGTCCCATTCGAGAATTTTTCACTCATATAGAGACGTCACCATATACCGGTGAAAGGCTTCAAATTTAGACCTATACTCCGTAATCAGGGCCTTTGAGCAGTGAGGGTTCTTTATCGTGCCAACGCCTACCGTATCACGGGGCCTGGGTTTCTAAGGTCTCATCTGAAAGACCCGTGACTTAATTTCACTTTTAGTGTCGGGCGCTTGGGGAAGGAACAGTTACTACCTATGTTTACGTCTTAGCTTTGACGCGGCGCGGCGAACGAAAATCGAACCCGGGCCTGCCGATCACGAAGCGATGTATGAAATGTGAAGGTAACGAACAGTTATCATTCTCAAAAGTCCATTTAAACAATACAACTATGAGTAGAGCCAACGTGGACTTCTTAAAACAGAGAGGTGGGATCAGGTGCCATGGAGGAGTAAGCACCCTTTGTCGACCAGTCACACCCGCTCCTTGGTAAACCGAAGAATCCGTAGACAATTTGAACAGTGTGAAAATAATGGCTTAACAATTTTTATGAAAAACATCAGTCAATATTCGACTTCGAAATGTTCACTTTAAAAGAGATTGTTGATATCCTTGTGTCATCAACTTATTTATAACGAAAACGGATCGAGCTGACAAATCGCAAGAAAGAGTTGGTTACCAACCCCATAAACTACAAAATAGACACTTAATATCTATATTAACATTATATCATATTTTTACCTCAGAGTTATACCATAACCATACCTCTAAATCAAATTAGACAGTAATTAGATACATATATAAAGATGTCTAGTTATAATTAAACTCCGCTAAAATGCCGAAATATGTTCGAAATAATGTATCAATTAATAGCGTACTTTGGCAGAATAAAGCTTAATCAAAAATGACATTTATAGCTCATCCTCACAATATCGTTCTGGTCTGTATACAAAGTAAAATCAAAAAGTATATATAGTATTATAGTATAGGGTGTAAAGTCGAGGAATATCTTCCAATCAGCATTAAAACATGATTGGGACGTAATCTTTTGTGTTTCTTGTACTATACTAACAAAATGTTTTAAATTCACAATCCAATAAGACCTCGGGCAAATTTCACTTACCAAATCTGAATTCGAAGCAAGGTCAAGTGATACGCTTCATTGGTAAGTAGATACTCTAACTTTGACCTTGACAATTTGAACACAAGATTTGTACGTTACGCGCAATATGTCTGTGCCATTTTACAATTTTAGTACCAGACCTATTAAACCCATCAATGATTTCAAAACAGTACTCGCAATATGGGCGATTTTGGTATGAATCAAAACAATAGGTTTTGAATAGAACTACCCCGGTTCCAGTCAGAAAATAACATTTAAAAAGATTTTATGCAAAATATACAATTTTACAGTTCAAATTAAAGATACTTTATGCGTTTAACATTTTTAAGCAGGGATCGCGCATTTTTCTTGGATAGAATGCTCTAAAATGAATCTACAGTTCTCATTTTTCTCACAAAACAAGAGCAATCCATGTCGTTAACGATTTTACATTCAATGATGGCAAGAAAAAGAAAAAAAAGATTGTTTTTACGGAAAAAGAAACTGCAGTGCAAATAATTAATTTACTCAATTACAAGAACGTTTAAAAAGAAACAAATTATAACAAAATGATGTGCTTTTCTTATGGATTGAATTTTTTCATTAATTAAGCCTCATGTCAAAATGCATTTTTTGCAGCAAATAACTTGATTATTTGTTTGTTTGCCCTCTCCCGACTCAGGATTTAAGAAAATGGAGTCGGTAGGTAGGTGGGGAAGTTTTTCCCTAGAAATTTTCAATATCAACGCCAAATTTTCAAAATCTTTTAAAATTGAGGCTATTAATTAAATCAAAATAGTTGTTGTCGGGATGAGAAAATTCCGGAATTAATAAAAAAAAAATCGTTTCCTGGAGGTTTAAAAAAGTTTTGAGTTGGGTTATTTTTAGCCAGTCAGTCGCACTGTGGTCGGGAGAGGGCAAAAAAAAATTTTTTTTAGAGATGGCCGAACCTGAATGATAAAGGTGAATGTTTGATTTTCCAGGGTATCCCATCTCCAGGGGGCCATTGTGTTACGACTGTCGTGATATCCACGCCCCTGGTGATTGCCACAAGATAGTACCATGTAGTTTAAATGAGGCTAGTTTATACCAGATTTATAATTTCTAAAAACGATGCAAGTTCATAAAAGCGAAGTACCCATCACACCAATCAAAGGCAACACTCAGATAATACATATTTTATATAATATATTGTTACTCACTTTATACCGATATTATCATCACCACCCTCGCTTCCTCGTCTAATTCTTTCAAATGACATCTCATTCAGAAATGCCTATTAGAGGAGAGAACTGTATTTGGTCAGCGCTATTTCACAAGTAGATGTGAACACGGACAGGTAAGTCAGCACGTGTTCCATTTAATTTCTAAATCAGTTTTGAAAAGTGAGTTTGGAAACAGAGCACCTGGCGCTAAAACTAGGATTCGTGATGCTTAGAAGACCCTGGTATTTGGAGCCCATGAGCATCCATTTTGGGGACCAGGGCAAGAAACTACCCTCTATACACTAAAGGAAAAGATTCACTGGAATGGTATTTAAGTTAAAAAGCAAAAAACAAACAAACAAAAACAAAAAATTAAACCACAAAATAAAACAGAGCATAAATAGGACTCCATTCTCTCTAGCTGTGTGATGATTTTGTACATTTTACAGACGTGCGATTCACTAGTACACATACCATTCGGTAGAAAAAGGGCTACGGCAGTCAAGTGCCACCAGTGCTGTGATGGAGATTTGTGCAATAACAACTGTAACTTGGGTTAGTGACATTTTTATTTGCCTATAATTAACGAAAACAAAAACACACATCTCTGTGTTCTGAGAGTCTTTGGTAGTACTGTGTATATGGCAACATGACAGCAATTTTAATATTGTAAATTTTTTTGTTTTAATAGTGACGTGTTTTTTTTACTGTTAATCATATTAAGATACCTTACATTGTTTTGTTTTGTTTTGTTTTTTTTTTGTTCATAGCTAATTCCGTTGGTGGCTCCACCACTCCAGGTACAGTGATGTCATCATCATCATCAGCCCCCTACACGTCCTACAGCGTGGCCTTCTTCACACAAAACAATCAAACCGTCACCGGGCCAGGATCAAGGGATATAATCTTCGACCAGACTGCCATTAATATTGGGGGCGGATATGCCAGTAGCACGGGGATATTTTTGTGTCCCCAAGCAGGCTTATATATGTTTGCATGGGGAATAGTTTCACACGGAAATGGGGTCGACACCAGTTTGATGAAAAATGGGTACCCCGTGGGTGTCGCAGCGATAACTGATCCGAAGGCTTCCACGGTTGACGATTCAAGCACCTCCTTTGCAGTACTTCGTTTGAACAAGAATGATAAAATAAATGTGCATCAATTTTCTGGAAGCAGAACCATCAGCAGTTTTTTTGCGGGCTGGAAAATTTACGATGGGCCACTAGATAGTGAGTAAATTTTATTTCTGTTTTTGTTTTCACAATTATTTTCAAATTCTTAGCTGGATCATTTGTCATGTCGGCAAAATTGCAAATTGCAGATATTTTATTTGAAAAACAAGATGTGTTTGTGAAAAACTGATGCATATGGCCAAGATTAAAGTTTATCGAGAGTTGGTCAAGCTCCAAGGTCTCGACGTCAAAAATGTTGGTATACATAGAAAGGTCTTGTCACAGAGAAAACTCATGTATAATATAAAATCACAAAAAAGTAAAACTTCAAGATCATGATGTCTTTTATCTGCATTGCCTCAGTCCACCCAGATGCAGCGGGTACCGGGTTGCGCTTTGGAATTAACCTGTGATGAACTGGTGTACCATCAGTCAATGACTATTATTCGCCTAGCACCACAGAAACGGGGTATGAGCACCCGTCTTATGAGCCTTATGCCTTGACGAAGGATTTAACTTTAACTTAATTAGTACTAACAGTTCAAAATTATGACCAAGGTTAAAGTTTGGTAAAAGACTTTTCAAACTCCAAGGTCATGAGGTCAAAACTATTGGTACCTAAATAAAGACCTTGTCTCAAGGAATACACATGTGAAATATGAAAGTCCTAGCACCAACCGTTCTAAAGTTATGACCAAGGTTAAAGTTTTTGTGAACGAACAGCCTAGCAGACAAACAGGCAGACGAATAGATCAAAGACTCGGTATATGCCCCGGATATCCGATTTAGTCCGATTACGAGAGCGACTTTGGTGGTTTTGCTTTATTGGAAATACAAGCTTTTATACATTCAGTTTGCAAGTATACTATTTTTAATTCGTAACTGGACAACTTGATATGATGGTTTTGATATACCCGGTATCGTGTTTACATATATGTGGATGCATATCTTACATTAAAAGATTAAATTGTTATTCAGACTTATCTATAACCACGATAGATCAGTATATAATACATGAATGAGGGGACGATTTTTTAAACTTTAGGCAGCATTTATTATCTTATCTCTTTAACATAATCCCAAACATGACTAAATCATTTGCGAGTATGAATGGGTAAAAATAATCCTTATACGGTTTATAGTTATAGATCATTTTCAATTAAGATTTAAATAATGTTACACTTATCGTGTCTTTTAACTGATTCGAATTGACATGCCACCCAATTTGGCAAAATGGCAGTATGCTGTGAATCGCGAAATTTTCGATGGTCTAACTTTCAAGCCCAGGAGGGCTATTAAAAACGGCTGTATATAGGGAATGTTTTGTCGTGGAAATAGTAAAAGAATATGTTAGGAATAAAAGGTTGGTAATATTCTGAGGTGGCAGCAAAATTAATTGGAGAAATGGTGTGCGCTTTTTTGCACACAATAAATACACACTTTTTTTCCAGTGGGTGGATCTGTAGCTCTCTAGTTGTCCATCCCATATTTTTCAGACCAGCGAGCTACAGATCTGCAGGTTATTCTAAATTTTAAACCAAGACAGGCTACTGAGAAATAAATTGATGTTGCAGGCCGTATTACGACCTTGTTTAAAGTGCTATGTTATAATGACACGGATTGAAAAAAAAACTATCGTTGGGTCGTATTTTAACTGAACTGTTAGGCCATTATTTTATATTAATTTTCACCACGGATTGGTCCGCTAACTTGGTCATCTCAGATTAATTGACAAGTGATTTTACTTCTACTAGGCACCTGATCCCACCTCTGGTGTTTCCAGGGGCCCGTGATTTTGACCTGTTCACGTTTTGCATTGTTCAATGGATTAATATGAGCTTGATTACTGCTCATTATCCTCACATTTTTTTTGCTGTATTTGTTCTATTTTTTTTTTCTTATACTAAAAATGCTTCATTTAAAACTATTGCAGGAAATATCGATGCATTTACAACTGCTCTGAACCATTCAAGCTACAGCTCAACAACAGTTCCGTTTAACAGCGTCATATTTGATAACAAGGGAAGTTATCGTACTGGCAACCAAACGTTTGTTGCAGATAGTCCCGGTTTATATGTTTTTGGTGTTTCGGGACAACAGTCTGGTTCTCAGTACGACGATCTACAAATTAAAGTTAATGCAGCACAAAAACTTAACGTGAGTCTAGTTTTAACTACAGATCTGTTATGACCACCCCATCCCCATATAATTTCAAAGAAAAATCTCAGCTTTGGTGTTTGGTGTTAATTAAATGTAAACGTCCTTATATACGCCCACAATATGAAAATATGAAGCAACCAAGCATTCAAAAATCTTATGTGATGTAAAAGGCTGTACATGTATTTCAAGTATCTTGAAAATAAAACGCGATTTTTACACATCTAAGCGATGGCGAGAGGACATAGCATCTTTGCAATAAATATTGTCTCCCAGAATAATGCTTCATGTGCATGTAGCAAAAACATTGGTATTTACGTTCAAAGATGTATGACTCCCCTTTTCTGAGAAGCAATTCATAATTTTTTTCACAAAATTCCCACAAATTGTTTGAAAAAAAAATGAAATCAAATTTAGAAACATGAAATGAAAATTATTGCTCTTAAACGTTTTCTTCCCACGTAACATATTAGCCTGCTTAATATAAATGTTGATTAGAAGGGTATTCGTTCTTTGCTGAGGGACGCACCACTGTTATAACGCGAAATGTAATAACAACGCAAAATGAAATAAACTGGGATTATTACATTTTCCGTCGAGATCAACGCAGAATGTAAAAAAGTAATAAAACGATTTTTTGATTGTTACATTTTGCGTTATTTAATTTTTGCGTTGAGGACAACGCAAAATGTAATAAAACAAAATGTAATAACACAAGACATAATTATTTCTTTTTTTTTATTTTGTTCAACGCTAAACATCACAAAATTAATTTAATATTATAAAATATGGAAAGGTATTGCGTTGAAGTGGATGGGTCGGTTAGGGGTGTAAATGCAATTAAGGGGGCCGACTGGGGTTTTCATTGTGCAATACTTCGCACAACATAGTAAACTCAAGCTCATTTATACTTTAAAAGCAAATATTTTCACATAATTTATCAAATCAAACAAAAATTAAGATTACAGGTCAAAAATCTTATTCAATTTTTTAAAACTGAAATCAGTTCTAATGTAAGAATGAGTTTGTTTATTTTTCTTTTTTTTCTATCTTTCCGTTTCTTTTCTCGATCAACTACTAAACTGAACATTATTCTGAACCTAACTGACCAAAAACTGTGTTAATACGTTTTGCGTTGTTGCATTTTGCTTAATCTTCGACACAAAATGTAACAACGCAAAATGTAATAGTACAAAACATTGTGTTATTACATTTTACGTCATAACATTTTGCGTAAATCTAGACGCAAAATGTAATAATCCTAAACGTCTCTTATTACATTTTGTGTTATTACATTTTGCGTTGACCTCGACGCAAAATGTTAAAGCGCAAAATGTAATAATCACGGTATATTACATATTGCGTTGTTATTACATTTCGCGTTGTAACAACCACCTTGATACGATTCATGTCTAGTTTGCATTTCTTTCAACAGATTGTAAATAATTCCAATCTTTACATATTTTTCAGACCTTTCCCGACTCAGAGAGCGGACATTCTGATTCCGGGGCGACTCTGGCTGTCTTAAACCTCAATTCTCATGACAATGTTAATATTGGAGGCCGTCATTATGTTGGCTACAGGGGAACTACAGCGTTTTCGGGATATAAAATTGCAAGTATGTTTTTTTTCTGAAAAAGGTGGGGGATGAATGGTTTTCATGATGAGGTATGTACTCATGAAAGTTTTTAAACAATACACTTTTAGATGGTTAATTTTACATTCCCTTTAATAACTTAATAAGTTGATTGTAAAAAAAAAAAAAGGGGAGAAGGAGTCAAAATGCATGAAAAAATCATATCTTTAATCCATTTCAGACGTCACAACTCCGGCATTTACAGCGGTGCTCACGTCGGATAGTACGAGTACTGTTGTCCCATTCAGTGACGTGTTATTAGACACCCATCATGACTTTAATCGTTTGACGGGGGTATTCACGTGCAGTGTTAGTGGAACCTACCTCTTCACGTGGACGGTTGAGACAAACGGGGCTGAACTAGAAACACAGCTGATAATTCAGAGAAAAGTGGGTTCTCAGATAAGTGGTCCAAAAACTTTTGGAGAGGAAACTAAGGGAGATGAATACGACAGCAGCACGGGGGTGTTTATCTACGGTCTATCCACGGGGGACACTGTTAGTATAAGACGTGTGCGCGGGAAAGTAGAGGGAAGCTACTCCTCATTCTCTGGATGGTTGTTGTTCTAGTTAATGGTATTGAGAAGAAAAATAAAACGAAGATATTTAAATTCAATGTGTGCTTTCTATTTTTAAGTCTTTGATGTAAAAAGTGAAGATAACGGACAGTGATCAGTGTCAGAAATCCTGTAAGGAATACGAACAGGAAAAATGGGACCCCGGGAAATACCAGAGGTGGGATCAGGTGCCTGGGAGGAGTTCAGTGAAACAGATGTATGCGCATATGTTAAATACACCAACGTCAGCTGTATAAAAGTTTCTAGTAAAGTGCAGATTTTTTTCATCCCTATAATATGTCCATTACATTTACATATAGTGTATTTGAATGACAAAAAGTGAACGTTGAATTATTTTTTTCACGGAGGGGCTCTCCTTTTTTTCCATGAAGTTAAAAGAACTTTTCTAAAAATTTTGTTATCAAATTTCATTGAAAATTGTATTTATTTTCATTTCTGTTCAGGATGAAAATTAAACAGTGATTTGATTTGAACATTAACTATCAAGAGAGGAATTGCGTTTTACATTATAAGATAATTATTTATGAAATGAATTTCAATTTACTTAATTAGAGTAGTAGTTAAAGGTTCCTGCTATCCGTATGCCATGCTTCAATAATATGTTAAGTTTTTCAGAATTATACCATTCGATTCATGGCCGTTTTAGTTTTAAACTCTAATGAGCTATGTAAAATGCTAATTTATGAAACTTTTATAAAACACTGACTAAAAGGATCCGGACTCATTGAAATAGATAAAAATTAGTGTACTGTCGCATTTGATAAGAACAGGACAGGAAATGCATTCTTCTAAATGTGACCACAAACTTGCCAGATACACTTTCATGACACACCCTCTGGTCATAAGTAATCATTTTGTGAAGTGTAAACTTCCAGTATTTTTCCATTAGAGAGTTGTAGACCAGACTAGAATTACATGTTATTCTGAAAGTTACCTTTAACTTACCCAAATGATCTTGGGTCAAGGTCATAATATACCATCAGGACATTTAAGTAAATTTCTGTGTGAAGTAAGAACTTCCAATTCTCCTCCAGTCCAGTAGAAATTTATGGACCAGACACAACTTTTATACTTTTCCTTATAGACACATTGAGCTTCAGAGCCCAAATAACCTTGCTTCAAGATTAAGGCATACCCTAGCCATAACACAGACACTTGTTTCTGTAATAATTTTTTTTAACTCATAGCATTATACCGGTAATAACAAAAGATATCTAACTCCGAATTACATGGAGTACCCCCCTCCCCAAGATCGAAGTCATTTATACTTTCAGAGAAAATAAACAGGAAACTGTTTATTACCATTCTCTTCTACGAAAATTTAGCTACACAGCCATGTATGGCATGTTTGTACGATGGCCGATAGCGGCCGTCAATTTACACTAACGTTATGTGTGTAACATGTACAGCATTTTCAATGAAAACTCACTGACACATTACTCCCAAAAGGAAAAGTGTACAAAGTGTACAGTGTCAAAGCAAATTTCATGTACACTCTACACCAACGTTTTATGTGTAAAATGTCAGTAAAACTTTCATGTACACTCTACACCTAAAGGTGATATCAAGATTCAAAACAGATCCAATGTTTCTTTATCGTGCTGCTCCCTCAAAGTGCCTCTTGATGTTCACATAAACCTGAAGTATTTTTTATTTATATTTTCGCTATAAGGAAATGGCTAAATAAATGCGTCTGTCCAGTAGAAGATATCAAACAGTTCATATAGTTCTGGAAGTGAAAAATCTTGTTTCTAGTAAATATGGATGAAAGGTTATAATACATTTCAAAATATATAAAGTGAATCATTTTCTTTTACTTAGCAGTAATATTTACAATCATTTTCACACAATGTGAAATGAAAACAAAAATTGTTTTATATTGTGTGATAATTATCACTTTCCATTTTTTGACTGGAAAATTTGAATGCTGATGTACCTCTCCTACTGGCAGACTGATCCGTTTTCCAAGCTGTGACCTAAATAGCATTTTCGATAGTTATTATCATGATCTGATTAAGTACCTGTAATTTAATTGATGACCCTTTTAAACCTTTCATAAAATACTAATTTTGCTCTTTACTGATTATTTACCAAAGAACTTAATATGCCAGCTAGCATTTCCTCAGGCCCCAAAACCATAAAATGAGAATAGACTTAAGTCAAAATTTTGATTTTTTAGTATCTTGAATTTTTTTTTAATATTGTTGCTTAAAAATTTGCAATTTTATATAACATTTAAACTGAAATATATGATGAAAATTTGGTTTCAATATCAAAATTATTTCAAAAGTTATATTGGTTTGAAATTTTGACTTAAATCTATTCGCAGTTTATGGTCTTGGGGCCAGATCTATGTGAACTTCAAGAGGCACCTTGCGGGAGCAACACAAAGAAACACGTCTGGTTCTGTTAAATTTGAATCTTGATTCACCTTTAGATGTAGAGTGTACCTGAAAGTTTTTCTGACACTACACACATAACTTTGGTGTAGAGTGTACACGGAATTTGCTTTGACACTGTACACTTTGTACACTTTTCCTTTTAGGTGTAATGTGTCAGTGCGTTTTCAGTGAAAATGCTGTACATGTTACACACATAACGTTAGTGTAAATTGTCGGCCGCTATCGACCATCGTATGTTTGCCTATCTCCGTAAACAGCGTCAAAACTCTGCTTGCCGACTGGAAATTCGTCGCACTTCGTGCTCGGTCAACATGCTTTCTCTATATAAGTATCTAGATACTGACCTGATCAAAAGGCTATATTTGTACAAAAATTACACGATGTTCACATAATAAATGATGCTTCGGCACGGATTAAGTGGTATAAATTATTTTTAAAGAATCCTAATGTTTTACTATATACATTACTGATTCAAAGATTTTATTGTATAGGTATAACTAAATAGTTGCTAACAGGGGTCTTTGGCAACAGCATCGTTCGTCGCAAACCACGGCCAAAATGTACGATACTCTCCCATTCTGGTAGGGTAGGAGAGAGCTATATGCGGACTCCGGATCGTGGCTTGATACAATGGGGCAACAGTTGATCTGTCCGACCTGTGCGCAAACTGTTGCCCGCGGCCTTCAGTAACAGTTTATACACCAGTCCGACAGATCAACCTTTGCCCTCAATTCCAGTCAACAACTGTATAATATTTCTCCGTTACGAAGTTATGAGTCGGACATGAATATTATAATACGCTTTTTCTGTCAGTCACCATGAAATTGTCCAAATGAACTTGGCTCAAGGCCATGACACTCCAATCATATATCAAGTAAGATCTTTCAATGTTTCTCCATTATAAGACATGGCTGGGGCATGGCAAGAATTTTAAAGTTTTTAAATGACCTTGAACTTGATCAAATCTCCTCGGACTAGGTCATGATACACACTCCAGTCATAATTAATTTACGAGTGGAGTACGAAGTTTTAGTGTTTGTTAATTTGAGAATTATGAGCACTGGACACTTTTTTTTATAGTCGGTAGCCTGTAACTTGCCTAAATGATCTTACTTGTCCATATATTTAATGTTTCTCTGTTACAAAGTTATGGTCCAGGCATGGTTGAACTTGTATAGACAGACGGATAAACAGCTAGACGGATGAACAGGCGGACAAGGTTACTGTAAAATATTTAAACTCTTATTTATCTATAATTTTGCCAAATATAACATACATAACTTTATCGTTCGAAAGTTGTTATAAGGGTTAAACTAAGTTTATGACAGAAATACAGAGTGACACAATTTATGACAGATTTTCAGACATGACAAAACAATACAAAACCATAACTCTCTAATGGAGAAATGTTGGAAGAAGATACTTGACACCAGAATTACGTATGTCCTGAGGGTGTGTTATCATGCGATGAGCTAGAGAGAGATCGGGGCATCCGGACCCCCCCCCCCCCCTTTCCGGAATTTGCCGAGTTATTAAATGTATATACTGAAGCAAATAAAAAATGACGTTGGACCCCCCCCCCTTCAGTTTTAGAAAACGTGGATCCCTTGTAAGTAGTAGGTTTTTCACGTTTGAGAAAGACGATTAGGTGTTTTGTTGTTGTTGTTTTGTTTTTTTTCGTTTGTTTTTTTATTTGTTTTTTTTTTTTTTGTTTTTTTTTTTTTTGGTTTTGTGCTGTTTTGTTTTATTTTTTTGTATTTTGTTTGTTTATTTGCTAGTTTTGTTTGTTTGTTTGTTTTGTTTTGTTTTTAGGTTTTTTTTGCTTGTCAAGAAAGATTTTCTGGGTTGAATTTTTTTTTGACTGGAGAGGACCCCCCCCCCCCCCCTGAAAAAAAATCCTAGATCCGCTCAGTTATGATATTGACCCAAGATCATTTGAGCAGGTTCAATGTCTCTGGCAGAAAAGTAGCTGAAATTCCTTTCTGGTTCATAACTTTCTAATATAGAAACATTGGAAGTTCATACTTCACACAAACCTCTGCGTTCGGGCCTTGGATACGAATAATTTTAAGAACGATTTAATTGAAATAAATGGCGGGTATTAAAAATAGTTTAATTTTGGACATGTTACGACAAGGGATATTGTGACAATAATTCACTTGTGATTAGATGTTTGAGTGTAATAGATCCAATATGTGAGTGTTGGTTATAGCAGAAAAATGGTTAACCAAACATGTATGTAGTATGTACTGATGTAGGACAAATGATTCAAGTGTGAAATACAAGTTGATTTTGGCATATTTGCAAATACTATTTATAGGTTTGTTTACCAGTTTTACAATTGGCTACACTTATCAAACGACAACATTGGTTAAACAAAGGTGAATTAATTGTTCTGAAGAAAAATATGCATGAAAACATTGTACAGCATTTACATTTACCATGTTTACAGAAAATTTACTACTGTCAAAAAGGACTCCTTTCAGAACTATGAAAAACAGAGAATATTTGAAGATATAAAGCCCATTTGATGTTATTCCACTATCTGGAGCTTGTCTTATATTGTTTACTGAATAACTGGTTTCTTATAAAGTTCCTTTCACATACAAACCTTCGTGGAAGCAATCACATTTCAGATATATAGTGTGTGATATAAATTTGAATGTTTACCTTGTACAATTAAACATCATATGAAAGCCCTTTGATGCCCAGTTCATCTACAATAATAGTGTGATTGCTACAAAATTATCAAGCATTCAGCAACTGGTATCTTCATGATACAGATGTTTGCAGAAAATTGATGACATATGTAGCCAGAAAATCTAGTGTGCAGCATTTTCACACTGGCCAGTACAGTGGTAGAATATATCAGGGACCTATATATACTAGTTAGTATATAGGTCCCTGGATATATTAGTATACTCATGATGATAAAAAATTTGTTATGACTGAGTGAGTTACCTAGTAAACAAAACTGAATACTATCGAATTAAAACTTATTGCAACAGACCTAGGATGTTGCAAATCATTACAATAAAACATCCATTTAAAAGGGAATTACTGAAGACGTTGAAGAAAAAAATGAACAAGCCTTAAGCTCTGCATGTACAATAGCAATTTTCATAGCAGGACCTCAAAAGTTCATTTAATTAACATGCCCAAGATTGTCCTGGTAGTTCTGCCCATTTTCTATTGTACAAAATATGTGAATACAGCTTAACACGTCTTACAAAATTAGTGTAATGTAGTATGTACTATTATTCTAACATTTGTAAGAGAATAAGCTCATTATATGATCTTTATGATTGTTTATAATGATGAAAATAGTCATAATACCTGTTGATTTTTTTTTTTGTTTTCAGTCCTAAAATGAACTAGTGCAAATTGATACAGGGGATATCATTTGTAAAAATGGACAAAGATTCTCCTTTAAAGATGCCATCTCCAATTTTGCCAAATGAGGAAAATGATCATGAGGAGGGAAAGCTAAAGGTCCCTTTTGGAACCCCGAAAGACTATGCAGCAAGTCCCAAATATGCACCCAAAATTTTCACTCCAGGAGCCCATGGCAAGAAAATTGGATATGTGCATCCTCACATGTCAAGGTATTTTCTACTTGATAACTTGCACACCTTGTTGTTAGAGAACACATGCTTTGATCTTTTCCCAATTTACAAATTCTAATAACTTTCTGAATTGAAAGGGTGGGGCTTTTGTTATCAAGAGGTTATAAAATCAAAAGACTGAACTTTGAGTGGACAACCTCCAGAGTAATAAAACTTGCTCTTAAATAAAGTTCTTTGTTTGTCTTTCTAGTCCAAGTCCTAGTCATAAGCTGCCAGGTGCTGGATCAAGGAATGAGTTGTTTTTGAGATCAGTGCTATCTAGTCCGTACACACATGATGCTCACTCATACACACCTATGTCTGCAACACCAGCAGGTGTCAGCCCCCGGCCAGTGTTCAAGACCCCGGTCACAAAAGATAATGGAAGTCCTGCTGTACACAAGACACCTCAAGGTAAAGAGGGACAAGAATTAGAAAAAAATACAGTTTATAGAGTAAATTCCACAAACTGTTCAAAAGACAAGTAAGTTTTTTGTCTCTAGTCAGGAAGAAATCCAATACATGTAGATACTTTGGAACAACATGTATTTTGATTTGTTGGGGTCAGTATTTGTGGGAAATCAAGATTAACTGTTAAGTAGGTAACCATATATATATGAAAGATTCAATGAATCAATATTTTAACAAAGTTATAGTTTAAGGGAATGTAAATTTGTGGGTAAATGGTAATGATGACCTACAAAATCCTTGATGATTTCACAGTAGTTTAAAAAAAAAATGATCTGGTAACAAATTTTATGGATATGTCTGACTGCAATTATAGGTTGGATATACAGTATGAGGTGTTATTTCTCCTTTTTACTTGGCAGGCTCCCGGCCTCCTCTAGGATCATCGTCAGGGAGGAAACAGAGGGTAATAAACCCGTTTGATGCGGCCCTCCTGGAGCAGCTTGATGGTCCTGTATTTATGAGTCCTGGGGTGTTTACTGTACAGTCCACACCCTCCACGGACGAGAAGGTTAGATTATGTCAACTTACAATGTCTTACACTGAAATAGGAGAGAATTGTAAAGCAAAAATAAGGCAGCTCATCAAGTGTTAAATGGTAACTCAAGACTCATTACATATGATAAAAAAAATTAAATTATTATTTATATATAGGTACAATGTATATTTAATATTTATATGTGTACATTTTATTTTGACATGTTTCAAAGATTTTATCTGACTTATAAATGTTTTCGTTAGCTTTAAATTTTTTACCCATTTTCAGAAGCCATTCCGCTGGTCAATTGAACATATTGCAGAACTCCACCCTGCAGACATTGACGAAATGCCAGTATATCAACAAATTACGTGAGTGATCACCTGAAGAGTTACCTCCTGTAGAAAAATGGATGCTTGTTTTATTTTTTGCCCCGCCATGAATATGGCCTGGGCATATAGTGTTTGTCATGTCCGTCTTCCGTCTTTCTGTCCTTCCGTCCTTCAGTCTGTCCTTCCGTCAGACTTTGCGTTTAGCTCTGTTCAAAGCTCAGTTTCAAAGAAACTATCCAAGATATTTTCATCGAACTTCATATGCTGATAGATATTGACGAGAGCTATGCAACTGCATTAACATTTTTTGACCTTGACTTTTCCTTTGACCATGACCTCACTTTTCTTAAATTAGTGTTTAGCTCAGTTTTAAAGATACCATTCAAGATAGTGTAATCAAACTTCGTATGTTGATACATACTGATGTAAGCTATTCAACTGCATCAACATTTTTGACCTTGACCTTTCTTTTGACCTCACTTTTCTTAAATTAGTGTCAAACTTCATATGCTGATACATACTGATGTAAGCTATTCAACTGCATCAATATTTTTTCACCTTGACCTTTCCTTTAAACTTGACCTCGCTTTTCTCAATTTGTGTTAAAATTTTGCATTACTAATATACCCTAGGTGGGGCATTCATGTCCTATGGACTAAGAGTGCAACGATTCAATTCATGATACGCTAAACTGATATCACAGTTTGGTTCAATCGGTCCAGAATTATCCGAATCATCCGTTTTGTTTCCTCGTTTACAATTTAAAAATGGCTTCCGCGCAAAACATGAGGTCGATGATAAAGCAGTAACGGCAGTTAAACTCATCTCAAGCATCTTACAGACCTAAGATATAACAGGGTGAAGGACTTTAACTCATTCCTAATGTGATTAAAAGTTATAGATGTTAAGAAAAGTGATAAACCATTTAGATCTAAAAGTATTCTATGGTAATACACGGTATCTCATCACGCCTGTGTTTCCAACTTGTGGAGTAGAACGCGATAACACTTCCAATTTAAAAGGAAGATAATGAGGAAAGGCCCTTTTCTATAAATAAGTCATATCTGAACTTTGAATCCAGGCTACCGTAGTTCCATGCTAATGTTCTTCATTTTAGAATATTGTTGCAACTCAAAGATCTACTTTTCAATCCAAATAAAGTTAACAGATTGATATTTTGATTATCAAAAAATATAAACATTTGATATAACCCTGTCGAGTTTTAAAAACTTGAAAGACTTCTTTGCCTTGTCATGTATCATGATACGTATCGTATCGTGAACTGAATACCGTGATACGTATCGTATCGTGAGGTAAGTGTATCATTGCACCCCTACTATGGACATATTTCTAGTTCATTATCAATCAGATTTCAGTTATTTTGATAGTGCTCTTCACTTGTTCACTGATTGTCTGTAAATCAGACATCTGTTTCTACATATATGGAGCATTTATAATAATTTGTATAATGAACTCTGCAGCATGGCTGTTTATTTTAATTTATACAGACCAGACAAGGAAGTTGAAGAGAGAGCACAGAAAGCTATTGAAAATTACTTCTCTAACAATCTGATAGCACCCTCTCCATGGAATTCCAACTCCAAAGGCACAGGGGCCAAAAATCTTGTGCGTAAGTGAAAGAAAATCAGTATTTTACACATCGCTGACTTCATTTTATAGTGAACACACTTTTACCTACACATAAGTTAGAAAATCAAAAATAAATATTGAAAGGAGTAAAAAAAAAAATAATTGATTGTAATACATGTAAATAAAAATGTAAAAGAATTCACATACATGTACATGTATTTGTTGTAATACTGTAGTTCACCAAATTTTCGTGACACCTTATTTTCGCGAGATAGGTATTTGGTATGTATAAGCAAGACAAAATTTTCACGAATTCTTGTATATAAACTACACAAACGAAAATTTACGCGAGAATGAAATTTTCTCGAGCAGACTGTCTCGCGTAATAACGCGAAAGTAATGTTCTCGCGAATAAAAAGTGATTTACAGTATTCAACAAAAAAAATTGTGAAATAATAGACAAAAAATTCACCATTGTTGAAAACGATACATTTATTCTTCTGATGCACACATTTCCCTCTGCTTTAAATTAATATCAAGTTTCTTGCAGAGTTTAATATATATATATATTTTTTAATCTAGAGACTCCATTGAAAACACTGGAGCCAGATCTTCAAGGATCCATTCAGAAACAGCTACCCTTTGTCACAAAGATCCCCGAGTTGCAAGATGGTAACTATCCCAGTATACAATCTCATTATCTAATGAGAATTTTTAAGTTTTGTTTATATTTGTGGAAACTGGTTTTTTCGTTTACAAAAAACGTATTCCAGACCTGCCCTATCCTCCCAATTTACCCATGATATTTGAGATTTTTGACCCTGTAAATACACTCTATGCTTTAAATACCAAATTCCCTGATTTCCAGATTCTTGTCATTTTTTGTATTAAAAAATATAAACTATGGAAATAGGGCAGTATGGACATTTGAGTGATAGAAAATCATCGTACAATTTTCAAGCATTTGTATCGCACAATAAGTAGTTATCCAGATGAAAACAAACTGCTAGACTGTGATGGACAAATAAGGAAGTAAAGGAAATATTTTTTTCATATCTTCTTGTGTAATGTAGATTCCTAAATATATGCAAGGAAATAATTATCGCGTAATTACGCGAGAAGAACCACTCGCGAAATAAAATTACTCGCTTTAATTTTTGTGGTACTGAAATCCATATAAAATGTCTTAATCAAGTGTCCACTCGCGAATTATACTTCTCTCGATTTGTCGTCTAAGGGCCATTTCGCGATATTAAGTACTCGCGTAAAATAAGGAATCTATAGTAACTTTTGAATTTTCATATCTTCTTGTGTAACTTTCCAATGTGTCATCATGTCCACATTGAGTATCATAATTGGTGTGTTTTCTGCAATTACAACAATAAATAATTTGTTTTATATGAATCACTTAAATTTTCTGTATTTACATGAAAGTCAAATCTTACAGAAAAAATAGTAGAAAGGTACTTAAAAGATTTGTTTGGAGTAAGCAGATCTGTTTTTCTAATGTTCTTCTTCAAGATGTGGAATTTTTAAGAGAAGTTTTGTTATAAGTCACTTACATTGATGCAATAGTTAATTTAATTCACTAAATAAATGATAATACAGTCATGTAAATTTGTTTTTCCCAGCATCAGCTCAGACAATGCTGTCATTACCTGTAAATTTTGATGTCAAGGAAGTGCTAGGTTTGTGTTTACAATACTGAATCATACCACTCAAAACAAAATACACTGAAAGCTTAATCTGTTAAATAGTTATCATTGTCTTCCTAGATACATATATGTTGATATAATAAGCGTATTTACTTAACTTTTCCATGAATTTAAGGTCAAAGGGATCATTTTGGATTTGTGTGTTTAATGATTGTTTGACTTTCTATAGCCTCTTGTTCCTACCTGTATGTATTTTTTATAAGGTGAATACATGGTATGTGAAGACACTGAACTTCATGAAACATCACAGAAAAAGGAAGCTGTGCAGGATGTGTTAAGCACTTCCTCTTTAAGAAGGAAGTTGTTCTTTCATCCAGACAATAGTAGTTTTGCTATTAGTCCTGTAAAGTTAGTATTACTACAGGAGAAAATCTTTTTCTCTATTTTCACTTGTTAGAATGTATTTTAACATTTTCTGTGCATATTGAATTGAATGAACAGAGTCTCTAAATGATTTGATATTTTATTTTATTGTACAATATATATATATTTATACCACAATATTCATTTAGGACAGCTCCTGTGATAGATGAAGAAGTTGACTTTAATGGTTGCTCCTCCCCACAAGTAATCTCAGCCAATGAAGCAGAGATTCCCTTCCAGCATGCCACGCCCCTTAGGCCACCCAGCAGAGTAAGTATTAAAGCCACTTTAGTCACTCAGGTAACCTAGTTCTCTACACTAGGATCCAGTTTAACATGTTCATCCATTCAACCAAACTTGCCACAAAACATCCTTGGGTGATTTTAATTTAAGTGTGTATACTTGGAAGGCCAAGCATTAAAGAATTTATTTGACAATTTGATTGAAGATTGCATGATTCAATCAAACAATATCCATATATCTTGAATGTTTTCATGTCTATTACAGAGTCATTTTTCATCAAGCCCAATAAAGAATATAAAGGGACTAGAAACTCCGGAGTTTCAGAACAAACAACAACAAAGAGAACTCTTCAGTTCCCCAGAGCTATCTCCCATTGTGCGTGGACTTGTGTGTGAGTATTGGGGGTTATAATACATGAGTAACATGACTGTATACACATGTATGTCATCCCTAATAAAGTTATGGGGATGGAGAGGGAATTTTTAGTATTTTGTTGAAAATTTAAAGTTTACATGTTTTATAAGTTATCTTGTTAGGTACATCTTATATGCACAAAGGTTTTATTGAAAATTAAATAGAAAATAAAAATTCCAAGGATAATATTTGGTGTTAAATATTGGTTGTAAAAATGGGCTTCTGAGATGAGCAGTGTCAACTGATTGGTTGGGCTATTTTTTAATTGTCTCCCTTTTAAGAATTTTTTTGTAAATCCTCATTCTTCTTTGTTATGCAGCTCTTTATAAATATTATTGGTTGAAATAATGAGATTTTCATTAAATCTTATATTGAGGATATATGTGTGATTTTCATGTTCATATGAGATAGCCAAGCTTATGATGCTGAAGGTGAATACTATGGGTATGGTGTAATGAATTATCATTGGCTCCTGTTGTTATTGAAGTTCTGTTACATCACTGAAGAATCTACATATAAAGTTTTTTTGAAATGTAACATCACACCACTAACTGTAGTTGAGACTGAGTTTTAAGAAAGATAAAACCATAAATTTTGACATACCATATGTTTCAGTAAAGGAGAAAAAGTATTCATCAGGATTTGTTATGTTTCAGCCACAAAGAGGTCCTCTGGTCTCTTTTCACCACATGAGAAAATATTTGGGGAGGGTACAGTTCAGAAGAACATGAGTGTTGAATTTGCCCAGTCTCTCAGTAGCCCTGAGGTTTCCCCCATTAAGGGGGGCCTTTGGAAGACCCCACAAACAAAGAGCAGGTCCAAGCTGTCCATTCAGAGTCCAGGGGTCTCCCCAATCTGTGCCAACCCAGGGATCCTTGATGATGACCAAGGATCTTTTATACAGGAACCACTACCAGGTAACTGCTGGCTTTGTTTTGACTCTATCTATTTCTTTAACATATGCAAATACATGTATACTTTTAAAAAAGTATATTAACTAAGGACAGATGATACAAACAAAAAAATCAATGCCTGGATTGATAGAGCAAAACAAGTTTATAACGAAGTGCCAGGGATGGACGATTTTTCTTTGTTATAAATGTAATTTGTTATATCCGTTAAGTTCACAATATATTTTAAAGTCATTGGGAATGAAAATCACTTTGCTGTAAGCGTCACTTCATTATAACCGTGTTTGCTATAAGCATGTTTTACTGTATATATTTTTGGATCTACATGTATTTTGATGGTAAATTATGCAAATATTAAATTTCTAGAATACCGGTTTTAAGAAATTGTCAACTTTCTATGATGTTCAAAATTCTACCTTTCTGTGATCACACTTATAAATCTATACAAATTTTTATCACTTCATAGGACAATATTGTGAAAATGAGAATGAAAAATTAAAATCCATTTGGCCAAACTTATTCATTTTACTTATATAAGCATGCATTTAGTTCTTATTTTCATTGTATATTTTGATGAACGTTTGTATCATCTGTCCTTAAAGACAACTCATTTCTGAGTGTACATTGGTGTTCTTCATTCTACTAGTAAGGAAAAAAACCCACACTCTTTCATTTTCTAAATGACACTACTTGCAGGGATAATGCTATATAAGCAGAATTTTTAGTGAGGATCCAATTTGGGCATTATTAGCAAAGGTGTTGAGATCGCTAAAAATGAATTTCGCTAACAATTAATTGTGTATCTTTTGTAATAGCTTCTTTGTAAGCATTGTAAAATTGCTAAAATTACATCTCGCTAAAAATATACATGTATATCAATTTTTAAGGATACATCACTAAATTTGCGTCCCTCTAAAATTTCCACTTATACAGTATGAATTGTAAAGATGATTTCAAAAAGTTTGATTCCTACTATACATACACTGACTTAATCATATAGATTACACTGAATATTGATAAACTGTAAAGGTTAATATATTTTATGCAGTCCACTGGTACTTCAGACAAAATTTTTATTACAGATTTTCCCTCAGATGAGTCTGATGTAGAAACAAATACTCCTCTAGCTTCTGATGGTCACTCAGAAAGAAAACCAACAACCACACGAAAAATTTCCCATTTAGCTAGGCGTGGTCAGAGAAACATTCTTCATGACTTTGAAGACACAGCTATGGAGTTTGAAACAAATGAGCAGCCTTCAAAGCATTTACGATTTGCAGATGAAATAAAGACATCTAGTTTGCTCTGTGCAAAGGATTATTCCATGGAAATGGATGATCATGGTATTGCACCTAATTCAACCAATCATGACACAGGTTATCAGACTGCAAGTCTTCAGTCAACCAATCATGACACAGGGTTAGCATCAAGTCAGAGTAACCCATTTTCTGTGACAGCCAACAGTGAAATTCCTCCATCAACGAACTTGACTTCATTGTTCAGTAAACTCCCAATAGACTCGGTATTACAGGATCCAAATCAACCCACAGATTTCCCAGAATTCATTGCCAAAGAAAATGATGCCAAAGCATTTAACCCAGTGTCTTCAAATAAATTCTCTCTCAGGGAAAATCCATTGATTGAACAAATTTTAGATGTTACTAATCCTGAACAGTTTGGTCATGCTCCATACAGTGAAGAGGAAATTTTGGAGAGAGCTCGCAGTGTCCTAGACATGGTAAACAGGATGTATCCCGAGATGCAATCTACAAGCACGGATCCTGAGGAGGACTTGGCATCCATGATCATGAATAAAACTGGATTGTCTCTTTTACATGAATTAGAACCTATTGTGTCATCCACACCCCAAAAAAATGGCAAGGGAGATTATTCAAACACAGTCGCAGCAAGTAAGTGATCTTTTTTTTATGTGTATTGTTCAAGACCATTTCAAATTTAGCAACATCTATAACAAATTCAAACTACAACTACCACTAGCAGTTTGACATTTCATGAAAGATTATAGTGTTGAAAAAAATTTGACAGTCTCTGTAAGAATTATGAAACAGAGAGGCTACTAGAAACAGTGTATAGTTAACTTTATTCTTGCTAAGACTATGGCATGAATTCACATTTCTTGTCATAGATGCACTGCAACTTTATCTTTTCTGTTTGCCTCATAAATTTCAATTTCCAGGAAACAAAAATGTTTAGTCAAAATGTATACTTTGAACACATATCACTGGTAATGTACCTTGAGAGTGGATGAGTACACTTCACTTCATTTACAGGTGAACAAGCTCTAGCTATATTAAAACAAGCCGGGGAGGACTTGGCTAAATTTGGACACATGCTCTCCTCAATCAAGACTTCCATGGATAGCAGCAGTATTCCTACCCAGCCATCTTGATGACTGTGACTTATTAATAATCTCACTGACAATGGAGCTAAATCTCTGTCCATAGAAATCCAGGGAGTATAGTGTTTGTAATTTGTATGAGTTTGTATGTCACTGTTCAGTGTCCAATGTATGTTGTATGCATTTTCAGACTGCCGGAGTCCATTATTTATTTGTTTTATGTCAAAATGTGCCAAAGCAACCCCTTATTTTCTGCAGAATCATGTCAAAACTAAGGAAACTAATTTATTGAATAAAAAATTACCGCAAATCAATTTTCTATAGTTAGAAATTTTGTCAAAGTATTTTTACATGTATTATTTATGTTCTTACCAGTAAAAATGTGACTTACTGAGTTGAAAATTTTTACATACATATAGTTTGCTTTAGCTTTGAAATTTGAAATGACACTTGTGTGACATGAGTACCAATCTTAATTAAATAACTACATGCACATATATATCATTTGCCAAATGAATTCAAATAATTTATAGACTAAATTTAGTCATTCATTGTTTGCATTTAATTCCTTCTTTTTTTCTGTCATGATGTGTAAATTGATTTGATATTGCGGAGTTTTACTACAGCATAAAGTCAAATGTGTGTACATGTATGATATGAATAAAGTTGTATTTTAATGATTTTACGATTTAACGATTATTAAATATTGAACTCTGATTAGTTGTTATTACTTGATGGACTTGTAAATTTATTGTTGATAGAAAAAGCAAATATTTGATTTTTTTTTTTATCATTATTATTATTATTTTTTTTTTTTTACATCTAAGGTTATGAAACATAGACAGTTAAAATTTTTCTGCTTTGTTTGGTATTTTGTAGATGTTCTCCAAGAAATGAAAACAGACAAAACTGATAAACTGATGGACACCAAAAATGGAAAAATATTTTTGTGAAGTAAACAAATTGATCTTTTATACATTTATATATAGTTTAAAATTTACATTATGACATACATTGTCAGATACCCATGGGTGATCTCAACAATTACTCATCATGATGAGTAAAAGATGAGATCACCCGTGGGTATCCCACAATGTATGACATATTTCAAAAGCATTTATCACCTCAGGGTATTGATTATAGACACAGACATACACATTTTAGGAAGGGGGGGGGGGGGCACTTAACAGTTTTGGGGAATACGGTATTCTACTAAATGATACAGAGAACCCATAATTCAAACCCTCAAATTGTATATCTGATATTCAATTACAGAAAAGATTATCTACACATTTATTGTTGGAATTATTGTTGTAGCCATATTTTTCATAGTTTTATTATTAGCTCATCTGAGCCGAAGGCTCAAGAGAGCTTTTCTGAATAAAATTTGTCCATTGTCATCATCATAAAATTTTCACATTTTCATCTTCTTCTCCAGAACCACTGAGCTAATTTCAACCAAATTTGGCACAAAGTATCCTTAGGTGAAGGGGATTCAAGTTTGTTCAAATAAAGGGCCACTCTCTCTTCCTAGGGGAAATAATTCGGGAAAAGTCTTTGAAAATCTTCTCAAGAACAGCAAAGCCATGTTTAGTCATATTGACAAGGAAGCATCCTCAGGTAGTGTAGATTCAAGTTTGTTCAAACCATGACCCCCAGGGGTAGGGTTGGGCCACACTGGGAGTTCAAAATTTTACATAGGAATATATGGGAAAAAATCTCGAAAATTCTTCTCAAGAATAGCAAAATCTTCTTGAGTCATATTAATATGGAAGCATCCTCAGGTAGTGTAGATTAAGGTTTGTTCAAATCATGACTCCTGGGGGTAGGGTGGGGCCACAATGGGGGATCAAAGTTTTACTTGGGAATATATTGCATGAATCTGGGGGGTAGGGTGGGACCACAGTTTTACATAGGAATATATAGGAAAAAATCTTGAAAAATTTTCTTCTCAAGAACAGCAAAGCCATGATTAGTCATATTATTATGGAAGCATCCTCAGATAGTGTAGATTCAGGTTGTTCAAATCATGACCCCTGAGGATTGGGCATGGCCACAATAGGCAATTAGAGTTTTACAAAGGAATACTAGTACTGTAAAAAGGAAAAAAATCTTCTCAAAGACGGCAAAGTCTTGTGTAGTCATATTGATATAGAAGCATCCACAGGTAGTGTAGATTTAGGTTTGTTCAGAACATGACTCCCGGGGGTAGGGTGGGGCCACAATGGGGGATCAAAGTTTTACTTGGGAATATATTGCAAATAATCTTCTCAAGAACAGCAAAGGCATGTTTAGTCATATTAATGTAGGGCAAGGATTCAATAGAAGATCAAATATTGCAACCACATTTATATTTAACTTTTCAATACTGAACTGATTTCTGTTTTTTCCTAGCCAAGGTGCTGGGGTGAGCGACATGGCCCATTGGCCTCTTGTTTAATGTTTAGAATTGAAAATCTGTAAATTTTTTTGGGTAAAATTATATAATTTCTTTTTAACAACACCACCAGTGAAAATTGCCAGCACTGTTACTGTACTAATGTAACCGCAAAACATCGGTCACATACATTTATTTCAACTAGATTTGATTTCCCTGTCCAAGAACATATTCTAAACAAATGCAGAAAAGGCCTAATCCTGTCTGGTGGCATATCCCTGTAAAGGAATCCCCACCCCTTTTCCAGATTGTGGGATTTCATTGTTCAACAAGATGTGTTTGTGAAACACTGATGCCCCCTGTCGGCAGCTTATGGGGAATGTTAAAGTTTCTCAAATGCAAGTCAAACTCCAGGTCAAGAAATCAAAAATGTTGGTACTCAAAGAAAGGTCTTGTCTCGAGGAATATACCTGTGAAGTTCAAAAGCCCTGGTACAAACCATTGAAAAGTTATGGCGAAGGTTAAAGTTTTTTTCAAAGTAAGTAAAACGGCAAGGCCAAGGTCAAATGGTGCCCAAGGGAAGTTCTTGTCACAAGAGATACACATGATCATGAAATGTGAAAGCCCTAGAACCAAACGTTCAAATGTTATGGCCAATGTTTAAAATTTTTAAAAGTGGGTTAAACTCCAAGGTCAAATCCAAAATTGTTGGTATCCAAAGGAAGGTCTTGTAACAAGGAATATACATGTGAAGTATGAAAGCCCTAACACCAACTGTTCAAAAGTTATGGCCAAGGTTAAAGTTTTACAAAAGTAGGTCAAACTACAAGGTCAAAGGGTCAAAGTTGTTGGTATTTAAAGGAAGATCTTTTCACAAGGAATGCATAAACCGTTTAAAAGTTATGGCCACGGTTAACATTTTTCAAAATTGAAGTAGGTCAAGGTCAAAGTTGTTGGTATCTAAGGAAGGTCTTCTCACAATTAATGCATATGTGAAGTATGAAAACCCTAGCATTAACTGTTCAAAAGTTATGGCCAAGGTTAAAAGTTTTCAAAATTGAAGTAGGTCAAACTCTAAGGTCAAAAGGTCAAAGTTGTTGGTATGTAAAGGAAGGTCTTGTCACAAGGAGTACACATGCGAAGTACGAAAGACCTAGCACAAACCTTTCAAAAGTTATGGCCAAGGTTAAAGTATTTTTAAACAGTAGGTCAATCTCCAAGGTCAAAGGGTCAAAGATGTTGGTATCCAAAGGATCACAAGGAATACACTTGTGAAGTTTGAAAGCCCAAGCTCTAAGTGTTCAAAAGTTATGGCCATGGTTAAAGTCTCATAAAATTTTGCAAAAGTGGGTCCAAGGTCAAGGTCAAAATGGTACCGAAAGAAAGATCTTTTCACAAGGAATACACATGTGAAATATGAAAGCTATAGCTCCAACCAGTCAAAAGTTATGGGCAAGGTTAAAGTTTTTGCGGACAAACAGACAGACAGACGGACGGACAGGGCAAAAACTACATGCCCCCGAATCTTCGATTACGGGGGCATAAAAATTAGATTTTAAACTACCCAAGACCTATGTCTTTCTAGGCATGCTTCCAAATATATTCTTTTACTATGAAATGGTGCCCCCCCCCCCCCCCCCACTTTTCGTTGTAGCATATTTAAATCATGGTAATTTGGTATTGTATGAATAAAATTTGGTTGTGAAAGAAAGTTGGAACCCCCCTCCCCATCGACCCCATCCAAGAAATAGAATTTTTGAGTTTGGACAATTTTTTTTTCTTTTATTGCTTGTTAAAGTTTTTACAGGTAAGTTGTATTTTTTTTTTGCCTGCCCCCCTCCCCACTTTCAAAAACGATACTAAGTGCCTGTAAAGTGATGGTGAAAAGTATCCATGTCATGGAACCCAGAATTGAAATATTTACTCGTAAGTACTAACAAATCAACCAATAACTGTCATCAAAAGCCTGTTAGCCTTAAACTACGAGGAAAAAGCAAAAAAAAATCGCCCTTTTCCGCAATATTACGCCTTTTGATTCGCGTATTTACATTTTTTTGAACACCCGATTAGTATTGATGTACCGATTAATCGATTAGATAATCGAAATGGCCATCGATTATAGATAATCGATGATAATTTTGATAATCGATTAATCAAAATATTTATTAAAAAGCAGATTATTCCTATGATATTTGATCCATTCTTCTTTGAATTTAACTAAATTCTAAAAAATAACATAATAAATGAATTCAGTGATACAAAAATATATCAAAAATGTATTTTAGAAATCAGTCTATAATTTTTACCAATTTATTCTTCATTGAAAAATGAACAAATTTAATACTTGAAATCATTCCATTATTAATCGATTATAGTCCATCCGATTATTCTTATAATCGATTATGAAAAAAATCTGATTTCCCATCACAACCGATTAACGTTATTACGATTTTTTGGGAACCTAATTTAATACCCATTTCATTTCCAGCATTTATTTTGTTTGATTTTGATTGGGATAAGTTTATTTCAATCGTGTTTTTTTTTTTTTTTGAGTGGATGGTTGAATAATTGATATATTATTAATTAATATGAATAATAATTATTCAAAAATAATGTTATTTTCATCAATATTATCCCCTACTATCTAGACTTCGTCACCAAAAGCGGAAAACACGCCAGGTTTCTATCTGAATTTTTTTTGATTTGTTTCTTGTTTGCTACACTTAGTGATGAACTTAAACATTGTTTTCAGAACTATTTTAAAAAATTCAGTTATTGGGCTTATACAAAACTACAGTAAAACTCGTTTAGTACGAACACGGATATAGCGAATTCACGGATATAGCGAATTTTTCTTGGATCCCAAGCTATATAAATTTAACGAATTTCTTATACGGATATAACGAATTACGGATATATAACGAAGTAATTTCATAGGTCCCATGCAGTGACTTCGTTATAACCGAGTTTTACTGCCTTACATTACGTACGTCCAATGAACCCTAACTCCGTCACCAGGGCCCTCTACAATATGTCAACGTATTAATTTTAATTTTTTTTTTTTCAATTTTATTGATTATAATTTTTTCCAGTTTAGTTTTTTTCTCCCTTCATTTTAAACTTGTAAACATGGAAAATTTGTTTTGAAGATTTAAAATAGTATTTAATTGTATTTTAGGAAAAGTATCAACAACAGATAAAATAACGTTAATATAACGTATTTTATATGTAATATAACCTCACACAACGTTATCTCCAATGTGTTGTGTTTTAGGAAAAATTGAGACGAAAAATAAAATATTTTTTAGCCGTATTCAATATGGTATGTCATATTAATCCT